CGACAAGGTTTTGTCATCATCAGGTACCAGAGGACAGCGGGGACAGATGACAAAACCTTGTCGAAACGTTGTACATTTGCTGTTATGTTAAACTTATATTAAAGTTTTTCTTCATTACCCATTCAAGCCGTCTCCAGCCATTATTAGTCTCAAAGTGGGTTCCTCGTCACCGAATAAGACTCCTATTGTTCAGAAATAAAAACAATGCTCTGGAACATCAACTAAACATATTATGATATGCAATTCATTAATATTTTTGTTGTAGAAATAAAAATATTTTGTACAGAAAAGAGCTTCGTACAAGGAGAGAGATCTTTCTCAATCTGTCATTTAACCTGTTAAAGTAGTTTTCAACTTCATTTATACCTTTCAGATCCTTGCGATGAAATTCCATGTGGACCAAATGCTCTGTGTACTGTTCATGACCATGTTCCTCAGTGTTACTGTCCCAAAACAGGTCTTTTCACTGGTGATCCTTATGACAAAATCAGAGGATGTATCAGAGGTAATATGATAAGTTACGTTACATGGTGCTGTTGTTGTATATGTTTTTAATTTAAATATCTGTATTGTTATTTGGCCAGGGGGAGGTTTGATGCCACTTGATGTGTGCATGGCTTAACATCTAGAATTTGCTATAAAGTTTAAGAACAGTTTGAGCTATGTAAAAAACAAATTAGGTTAGAGTAAATGATGATGAATTATTGAGTTGTTGAGTTGGTTAGTCAGCTTGTTTGTTTCTTTCAGTCAGCTAGCTCAGTTTCGTGAATATTGAATTTGTATCTCAACAAAAAAATTATTGTTTACAAGAAAATTAGAAACTAATTGACTACTTAGCTTTATTTGTGAAGCTAGGCATATTGCTTGGTGAATGTTGGGCTAACATGTGGAATTAGAAATAATTTGTAGTTGAAGAAATAAATGCTTTCATTATTATTAAGTGGACTGGATTTTGCATTCTTCGTTTTTACGAGATAATCTGAAAGAACCTGTTTAACAATAGAAACCGTTACAAAGGTATTTTAGTGCATAACTGTTTTCTCTAGTTAGTTTTGAAAAAACCTGACCTTTCTCATTTGAGTTTTCTGAATTTAGATTTATTGCAATATAATCTATATTAGCCTAGAATTCTCAAAATGTGTTAAAAGTGAATTCAGTATTATTTGGTTAATACATTTCAAATTATAGTGTGTACAATATGTAATAAAAGAAAAGTACACTCAACATAAGAGAAGCATTCTGTGGCAAAGAAATATCAGAAATAAAATGTATTTTTGAATTAAAAAGTGCTATGTTTCTGTTTTCTAAAACCTTTGATACTTTCTAGTTGACTGTCTGCATGATGCAGATTGCCCAGCTAATCGTCAGTGTCTCGAGTTTGTTTGTGAAAGTAAGTTCTAAAGTTTATTTGTATTAAAAGAAAAAGTAAGGCTTAACTTTAGAAATTAAGCCTAAATTTAAGAAATTAGTATAGAAGTATTGCTGTGTGAAAGCAAGCGGTGATTCTGTAATTTCATTTGTGTATATTGTTTTTGTACAGTTTGATACTCTTAAAAACATTATGCGTAATTCTTAATTGTTATCTCACTTTATCTGCTACCTCGTTAATATTGTAGCCATATTCTGACATACTGTTTTACTTGTCATACATCATGTGTGATTTGTTTCTAAATTTTTAATGTTTTCATGTTTGTCCTAAAATTAGTTATGTTGTTGAGGTACAATGGCCTAAGAAACTTTCATAACACAAGACTTATCCTCTTTGTTTCTAGATTTTTAATGTTTACCACATAACTAATTTTAGGACAAGCTTGAAAACATTAAAAATCTAGAAACAAAGAGGATAAGTCTTGTGTTATGAAAGTTTCTTAGGCCATTGTACCTCAACAACATAACTAATTTTAGGACAAGCTTGAAAACTTGAAATTCTCCAATAATAGGCATCAGGTACTGAAGAGAAAGGGACAATAAAAAGGTTAATAAATTATTAAATTGCTTTAGCACGCTTATATTCGTGGCATTCAAACATACAGAGATAAGGAAAAAAATTACTATATTATAAATCATAAATGTATTTATGTAATTTTAACATGTGAGAAACTGTATACTGGTTTTACCGTACAAGCTGATAAATTTAAAGCTGTTACCTATAATGATTCTTACTTACCAACACAGGTTAGACGACCATTATTCTCATAACCAGGCTGGCACCGACAAAGAGCATGTCTGTCCCTGACAACACATGTACCATAAGGTCCACAGTTTACTGTGGCACAAGGACCTAAAAACAGGATAAGTCTTGTGTTATGAAAGTTTCTTAGGCCATTGTATCAAATTTACCAGAATTTCTCAAGTAAAAGTGTTTTCCACAGCTTTAAATCAATTCTATTAAAGACATAGTATTGAAACTTTGTGTATACTACATTAATAGACAGGACTCAAATCATCCAGAAATGTTGGTGTTTGTGATGAAAGTCTAGTTCCATCAAATATAGGATATATTTAGGTGTTATCTTCAATAAAACATGTTTGTTCATCCATGCTATACAAGATATCAGTTATCGTGGAATGTTCTCTGTATTGTTCTGTTACTTTAAACACAAAGAATGTAATAACTACTTGATATTTTTTAGACAAAGACGAATGTAAGCTTCGTCCCTGCCATGCCAGTGCTATCTGTGAGAACGTCCCAGGAAGCTACAACTGTCGATGCCCTCCAGGCTTAGTTGGTGATCCACTTGTACATCCTGGGTGTATGTGTTTCATACTGTGTTATTCTCAATATATTATAGAAATAAGAAAATATACCTATTAGGATAAATATCGCTTGTATGAAAAAATATCTGTTAAGATAACCCTAGTATAAGTAAATATTTGTTAATAATAAACGTGAAAGAACCAAAATTTAACACCTATATTCTGTTTTGATATCATTATAACTGTATTTTCTAGTGTAGCTGTATTGAATTAAGAATAAGACAATATTCAGCTAAGGAAACATATACTATAATTTGTTATTGCTCTGTTAATATTTTACCTGCATTTTCCATGATCTAAACTATACAGTAACATTTATTTGATGCTCTAAGAAAGATCTAATTATCCAAAGATAGTATACATGGCTTTAACATCAACATTTTGTTTTATTTTATATTCAGGTCATGATCCTAACATCTGTTACAATGGAGACTCGGACTGCCCCGATACAGCAGCTTGCATTCTGGTTAAGGGTGTACCGTACTGTAAAGGTGAGAGCTTTAATCAACATAACTGAAACTCATCCGGATACCTTCTACTTATAAGGTTTTGATAACAATTTTAATTTTTAGAGACATGGAGAGCTAATAATTCTAAAATATTTCCACTAAATGTATTGCTTGTAACTATTTGCTTTGTATAGTTTTGGCTCTAACCATGCCGTTTGATGTGTGTTGATACTCTTGCATGCAGATACGGACATTTTAAGTTTAAGGGATTGAATTATTAACGTCATACATATGTGGTACTGATTACCTTAAAGTGAAGACTTTAGTATTTTTAATAAGTATGTTAATATTTCTCTCTAAAATCAGATCCCTGTGACGATCCAACAATGTGTGCTGCTAATGCAATCTGTC